AATTATCCTCAAGGGATGGAACACTTAATTTAATTATTTAAATCTATATTTATCTTTCTTGGAATAAATTGCTATCTGCTTTAATTACATAAGTACAGGATTGTGGATTTAAAGTGTATTTGTAGAAATGTAGTTTCCAATACATCCTCACTGCTTAACAGAAAATCCTCATTTTCCATTTGAATAATGAGGATACATTTCTAAAAAGTTTATTCAGAATCAAGAACAAAAACCAAAGGAGTGAAAAAAAACAGAAAAGTGAAAATCATCTGCCCTATTTCTTGAAGACTTCAAAAGCAAAGTCTTGCCTTTCTGGTCCAATTTTCTTTTTAAAATCCATAGGTAAATGGAAGTAAGTATAGTATTAACTGGAATCACTGAAAAGCTTGGACCAGTAGGTTAAAATAGTAATGATACTATTACTAATGATAAATAACCATTACAAAGGACATGCAGTTGGAAAGAAGATGTGTTGAGCACTCAGAGGAATTGGATAGGAAAGTGGAGAGTGGAAGCAAAAGTAGATACAACTGAGTTCTATTGTGAACATGTATAACATTTTCAAAGTATAGATACAAATATTATTTTAAAATGAAAATATATTCAACAACTAATGAAAATAGTTACATTTCATCTCCTATGCTGAATGTGAACTCTAATGTTTGAAAGAGTGCTAAAATAAAGAAAAGAATTATTAGAGTTCACATCACTCTATGTTTTCTTTTTGTACTTGGAGCTAGAGAGATGTCTAAATGGTTAAGAGCAATTGTTTTTGAAGATGACCTGAACCCAAATAGTGGTACATAGTCTTCTATGATTCAAGTTCCAGAATGTCTGATTCTCTTTTCTGAAATCCATAGGTACTAGTCACACAAGCACTTCATGGTCAGATTACCTGTACACATAAAATGAAATAAATAAACCATTTAAAAAGATCCTTGTCTTGACAAAATGAAACAAATGAGGGAATAATATATTGTAAATATGTCTGCAGCTTAAGATACAGATTAGAAAAGAATAGATTTGTAAATCTTGCTTTATCATAACTCAATTGTTTAAATGTTTCCCTATGACACATTTAAGCACAATTATAGAGGATTAAGACTTAAACATGACTAAAATATTGTGAATGGTATAAAGAAGATGGTAAGCTTTCAATAACTCCCATTCTAAATATTGAAAGGAAATACTATGCGTTTATCTATAATAAGCAAGTTTTTACCTATAGTAATGCTTTAAAATATCTCTTGTCTTAGATATTGTCCAGATATGTCCATTGTCCCTCAGTCTAAAATAATATCCTTTCTATTTCTTATTTCTCAGTCATCCCTTTTGTGTCAAATGAGAGCAAAGCATTATAAGTAATTATTTACTCTTAATATTTTTCTTGAAAAAATATAAACTAAGGTAAGAGAAGTAGGAGAAAGAAAGACAGCCATAATAATAAATTTCAAAATACAAAGGTCAATGAAAATATCAAACAAGGGCTTTTGTGACAGACGATCTGCTGCTTAAGGTTGAAGTCCACCATGCCTGCTCAGCTCTCTGAGCTAGGTATAATATGGAGGACTCCATTTGCAACAGAACTCCTTCCCTACCCTATTTAGATAGTGCCTCTAGGCCTGGATACCTGAACTTATTCGGAAGCTGTCCCTGAGCCAGGGTGTCTGATTTATCTTAAGTATGACTTTTGACACAGTTTCCTGAAAATGTTCCTGTCCTGCTGTCCATATTTTAATTAGGTATTATGCTCCAGCTATATGGCAGGACCATGATGACAAGGACAAATTAGGTGATGTCCCAACTCTGTCCCATCCTATATATTCCCCTTACTCTGCAATAAAGCTCAGCTGTAACATTGAATCAGACTTCCAGAAGGCTATTTCCATAGAACTCACAGGTCATACAAAGCCCTGCACACAGCCTCTGCTCCCTTTGTCCTCATGGACTGGTGGCCAACTGACTGCACGAAAAAAGGAGACCCCACACTTTTGGAGAGTTTGAGGAATTAAAACTAGTTTTAAAAACATGTCTGCCACAGATTCTGCCTTATAAAGCGCTAATTAATACCTTACTATTGTCAACTGATAAATTTGGCGACATGAAAACTGGAATAACACTAAAGCCAGCCTTTTACAATTTTCACTTAAATTTTTATTGAGTATGCTTCGTTTCATCTATTCAGATTTAGGAAAATCCACAAACAAAATTTATATCTCCTAATTAGACAATTCCTCCAGTAAACAATCAGTGGTTTTTGGTTGGATTAATCAGAAGACCTAATCTCATTTCATTATCCCAGATGTTAAAATAAAGTTTCTTAATGGATTCATGAGTTACATGTACAATTAAATTGTGCATTTCACTATATAACCATATATTTTCTGTGTAATGTCACTTTAATGAGTTTCTATCACATCCTGAAGTAGATTGTTCTAGAAAAAATTACTAGGGGATTCCAAGTTGTATGAATACCTCACAGTATGTACAACTGTTTAAGATTTTATATGAATAAAGCATGAAATATATCATTGCACTGTTCCAGACTTTCATAAAAGCATTACAGAGTATATTGCAGAGTAATTGCATGTGACTGTTTGATATCATAGTCATGGATATGTGAGGCACCTTTCCCCTGGGGATGAAACCACATTCATCTTTTCAAATGTCACCTGGGATTAATAACTTACTTTTAAAAAAGAGTGCCATAGAAGTTATTAAACCACCCTTTACAATAACTTTTAAGAAGGTTTCAGTCTTGGTCTTGTTGGTATTCTCTCATTTTCCTTACCTACAATGACAGGCTCCAATTGTAGTCAGTGCTAACAGGCAGAGAAGATAGAAGCTGGCTAGTGGACTGAGTGTAAACACAATGATCATGAAGTAAAGCCCTTGCAATGAAGAACTGAGAGTGACCACAATCACATGAATGAAACTGAAAATAAACTTTGTGGGCTTAACAATATTTATGTGACCTACTCTGGAGGTCAATTTTTTTAGTTAAGCCTTAACACAATCATAGGCATGGCTGAATACTTCAGGTGGACACTGAACCACGATCCTGACTTTCTAACCAATAGAGACAATGAAGGCACAATTAATTTTTCATGATTTTAAACTACAAACTTATGCTGTAATTAATCCCCTAACAGTAACTACATTGAATGATTTAAAATACTAAGAACAACATTTTTGTTGTATATTTGTACTTTTTATTAAAGTGTGGCTCTCAGCTAACATTTTTCTATTAATAATATAGCCATTTCTTGTTTTGATTCACCAAGGCACACTGTTTTCAATAACCTTTGTAGAAAGTCAGCATTAATAATCAGTGGTGGCAACAAATCTACAAGCCAAAACACCCTAATCAGCTACTCTCAAAGAAGTCAGCTGAATTCCATTACTTCAGTAAAGTTGATTCAAATAATATTATATTTGTTTAATGTTTAATAGTTATTAATGAAAACTGATAGTAACATTAAAAATGGGGGTATTTTGGTTCAAATTTCCTTTCATGTCTGAGTTGCTATAGTACTACATTAAGAAATAGCAACAAACTCAATTGCTTTCTCTGTAGAAGAGACACTGAGAAAATGTCTTTCATTGTGATGAAAGAAAAATAAATCCAGCTGACAAACTAAAAACAACAAAAATTTACTGTAAACTTCTCAGACCTATCAACCTTTAAATGTTTTATCTAAACCAACCAACAAACAAAAACTCCAAACTACACCAACTAAGAGAAATAACTAGCTTACAGGCATCTAAATGAATAAACACTTCAAACTAATCAAAGATGACCTAGAATTTAGGAAAAAATATACTATGGACAGTGGATTAAAGAAGTTATATACTTGTTATTTAGTGATGAAGGATTCTAAGGACTTCTAAATATCCCTTGAGTTGATCATAAGTGATCACAAGAGATTAAAGGACTAATATATAAATTGAACAATCAGATTGATAAATAATGCCATTAACACAATGCAATTAAGTTAAAAGCATCCATACATTAGTTTTCTAAGATTTTTGTTTTTACAAATAGAGCTGCTTTATACTTATTTTTTCACTATAAGTTTATTTTATTTTCTAGACAATGTAACTGGGGGTGAAGGGATGATATCTGGCTACAGTAAATAGTCATGTTCCTATGACCAGCATGTATTTTATAAGGTATAATTCATATAGCTTAATATTGTTGAAGATCTGTTTCTAATGATTTTGTTCATATTCTTCTGTTCTCCCCAATTTGTGACAAAACTTATTCTTCATTTTTATCTCTACTCAGAATTTGGAACGTGACTGACATCATGGATGGCTTCATATTGAATATAGGTGATAAATGGTTTGACTATAATCAACTTGAATGACTTGAAGATTTTTTTAACAGAAGTGGGCTTCCTTTGTCAATGAAGGATTAAAATGAAATCCCAGGTAATGCCACTTTGATAAAATTGTTTTATTCTTTATTTGTCATCATGTTGAGGAAAGATAAAAATAGTAGTTATAAACTATGGTTTAGTTAACCTTTTCCAGGGGACTAAAATTATTAATTGAAAATCAATATATTCCAGGTTCTGTAAACTTCTCAGATTACAAATAATGCTGCCATGAACGTGGTTGAAGAGATGTCTTTGTAGTATGAATGTGCATCTTTTGGGTATATGCCTAAGAGTGGAATTGTTGGATCTTGTGGTAGACTGATTCCCATTTTTCTGAGGAATCACCATACTGATTTCCAAAGTGGCTGTACAAGTTGGCACTCCTACCAGCAGTGGAAGAGTGTTCTCCTTTCTCTACATCCTCTCCAGCATAAACTGTTATTGGTGTTTTGATTTTAGCCATTCTGACAGGAGTAAGATGGTATCTCACAGTTCTTTTGATTTCCATTTCCCTGATGGTTAAGAATGTTGAGAACTTTCTTTTCTTTTCTTTTCTTTTCTTTTCTTTTCTTTTCTTTTCTTTTTTTGCCTTTATTGTAAACAGCAGGTAGAATTCTTGTAGCAATGTAAAAAATTAATTTACAAAAGCAGGGACTTGATGAAGCTGCCTGGTGGGTACCCTTGGGAAGTCATACATAGATGCCAACCAAGAGCAGCAGGAAGAGGACTCCAAAGCCCATGAAGAGAGAGGCCACCAAGGAGATGAGAAGCTCTTTTGGAGGTGACTTCCTAAACTAAGACCCAGGCGGTAAACAACATGCCGATGTCCAGAAGTACCATAGTCAGTTGTGGGAAGACAGCCGGGTTGACCTGGCTCATGTACTGACTCATAGCCTCGAGCTCCATTATGCCCTGCACACAATAAACCACTGGTCCACCATTGGAAGAACACATTGGCAAGGGTTGAGCACTTTCTTTTTTTTTTCCAACTTTTTTTATTTGAATTAGAAACAGGATTGTTTTACATGACAATCCCAGTTCCCTTCTCCCACCAGTCCTCCCCTACCTCCCCCAGCTAAAACCTTATCTGTCACATATCTTTTCTGCTCCCCCTGGATGGTGAGGTCTTCCATAGGGTGTCATCAGAGTCTATAGTATCCTTTGGGATGGGGCCTAGGCCCAACCCCGTGTGTCTTGGCTCAGGGAGTATTCCTCTATATGGAATGGGCTCCCAAAGTCCACAGCTATGCTAGGGATAAATACTGGGCTTCTACAGGAGGTCCCATAGATTTCTGAGGTTTCTCACAGAAACCCATGTTCCTGGGTTCTGGATCAGTCCCATGCTGGTATTCCAGCTATCAAATTGGGGATCAAGAGTTTCAGGATGTTCAGGTCAGCTGTTTCTGTGTGTTTCACCAGCCTGGTCTGGAGCTCTGTGCTCTTCACAGACTGACTTACATGCCTTCATCCAGCAGCTGGTGGAAGTAGAAGCAGACACCCATAAGTAATCACCAATCTGAACTGGAACCCAGATGCAGAGCACTTTCTTATGTGTCTATAGCCAGAATCTGGAAGCAAACAAGATGTCCCTCAACTGAAGTACAGATAGAGAAAATGTGGTACATTTACACAATGGAGACTACTCAGCAGAAAAAACAATGTGATCTTGAAATTCACAGGCAAATGGATGGAACTAGAAGAAACCATTCTGACCGAGTAGTCTGACCGAGTAGTCGTTTTGTGACTGGGTAGTCACAAAAAGACAAACATGGTATGTCACTCATAGATGGATTTTAGACATAGAGCAAAGGATTACCAGTCCACACCACTGTGGGGAGCCACAGCCCCAAGATGGTGCCTGGCTGGATGCCAGGGAGACCGAGCTTAGCTGTAAACAAGCCTTATTTGGAAGTGCTTAGTGGATCTGGTGTGCCTCCTCCAGCTGTGACCTATCCGGGATCGCCAGGTGGCATGAGCTAATTGGGTAATGAGCTTGCTATCCGGAATTGCCAGGTGGCATGAGTTAATTGGGTAATGAGCTTACTTTTAAGGGCTTGCCAGGGGGCTGGGAGAGAGATAGAAGCAGAGAGAGAAGCTGAGGAAAAAGAAGAAGGAGAAGCTGATGTACAAGGTTCCTGAATAAACTGCTTGAAGAAGAGTTGTGGTCGTATCCTTCTTGCTGGTCAAGATAGGTGCGACAAGCACCACAGAGAAGCTGGGAGACAAGGAGGACCCTAATAGAGACATACATGGTCCCCTGGAGAAGGGGAA